TGTTAGCAACATGGTCCAGTTAGGAGCATGATGCTGTTAGCAGCGTGGTCTTGTTAGCAGGTCCTGTTAGCAGCTTTATGGTAATAAGGACCGCAGCAGCTGCCTCCCAGACCACACTCCAGAACCGGATCCGTCAGATGGAGAACATCCAAGGTTTCCCCGCGGAACCGAACAGGTCCATAGAGTTCAGTCCGTGCAGGCAGATGGAGGATCATGGAGACAGCCGCCATGACAGGCCTGAGCAGGAGCCCGAACCCGAAGCTGTTAGGACTGAACCACTATGGCAAGGCAGCGACACACAAAACTCCACAAGTGCACCACGGTCAACGCTTTTGATAATTAGGATATTATACAGTTCGTAACCTTACCACAAACCCCCACTTCAAAAGATTTGAACTATCTCTTTACCACATCAGGTGCAACTCTGCTGCACTGAAATATCCCGATGCATGCTCAGCTGCACTGACTTACATCCCAAATAAAAGAATGAATACATGAAAACCTGAAAAGACATTATCGACTGACCTGGGTTTGAACTCTTCCCTACAACATCCATACAAACAAATTCTTCAGAGTCACTACACACACACACACACACACACACAAAGAGAGAGAGACAGAGCGTCACGCATGCAATGACAGATGTGATTCATTCCAGCAGTGGTTGTCGGTGTTGAGGCAGGGGTAAATGGCTAATTTAAGTGTTTGTGACAGGCAGCCTGAGGCAGCGCGGGCAGCAGCCCATCTCTTTCCATAGGTATAGCCTTCACACACCCCTAAGCTCCTCATCAGCCCAACACTGAGACACTCAGCCTGCATGCTGTGGAGCCAAGAATGCCAGTGATGAAACAGAGATGTGGGGGTATTGCTTTACACATGTTGGTGTAGCTGTGTTTGTGTTACGGAGGTGTGGGTGGGAATGTATGTAGGCGCCAACCTGTTTTTTCCTCTAATAAATAAGACATCTAGAAAGCAGCTAAAAAGTGGAGAGTGTTTTTAGTTGTGAAGAGGGTGAAGAGCTGCGATCTGTGAGCATCCAGCTGTACTGCGGGCAGTAAATTCATCGTCAGAAAACACTTAAAGGCAGGGAACCCCTCTGGCTAAAGAAAGCAATTTTAGCTGGAGAAGCTTTCAATTTAAACAAAATGTTTCACAGTATCCTCAAAAGTTTAAACTCTACAGTAAAACAGAACTATTGTCATTCCTGATCTGAGGAACGTGTTCTTGGTTGCTTTAGTTTGGTTTACAGAGCAGGAGTTTAAGGAAAGGAAGGAATCAGATTGGGGAAGAAAATGACTGCTTGACAGGTGAGCCTGAACAGGTGAGAGAGGTGAAACCGAACAAGACACAGGTGAGAAAGAAGAAAAACGTGGGAATGAACCCGATGCTCTCTAAACCTTTCACACACTTTACAGGCATCTGCTTCAAACCTATTATCACCTTAAAGCAACAACAAAAAAGCTTTCACTTCCTTTTACACAGGTGCAATTCTGTTTCGCTCCTGAACGTGATGAAGCTTCCATAAAAAATACCCATCAAACCACAGCTGCTCAAACCTGTCAAATGCACCTTTCATCACTGTCTGAGACCGTAACACCCCTCTGCTGTGCACAACACACAGACTGGACCCTCGATGTCTTTCCATTTCTACACACACAAGTGAACGCAGCGCATGAAAGGCCACACCGACCTGTTATCAGAGAAAATGTGGTAAACAAGGCGTTTAGGGGCGAGTGCTGAGGTTGTCACTGCAATGCAACATATTCAAGCGTTTTAGGTTTGTTCACTGCCTGGAACATTTAGGAAGAACACAAGAGACAGCATGGACGGACATCAACGACATTCAATTTTAGCAAAAACTGCCCATCAATGCACACGTGAAAAACACTCGAAGCAGGATTAATACTCGCACAGAGTTCTTGGTAGGCCTGTCACGATAACTAATTTTGCTGGGCAATTAATTGTCTCAGAAATGATTGCGATAAACGATAATATTGTTTGAAATTTTACAATAATTAGTAATTATTGTCAAATTTAAGAAGAAATGTTCATTTGTTTTGCATGTAGTATCTTTTTTTGACCACTGGATGGCAGTATAAGACTGTTTGAACTGAAGGATGGATAGTGAAGGAGCCAGAAGTGTGTCTCTAAGAAAAATGGGAGGGGGGCCCATTGACGTGACAAGGGCTGTCTCTTTGGTTCTCAAAATGGCAGACGCTCGGTGTGGTTTGAGCTCTTTAGCATAGCATTTTTCACACAAAGCTTTTAATACAAAAAAAAATCAGTAAACAAGTTCTCAGCTTCTTCTTGCAGAGAAAAACAACTTTTTACATGAAGGCACGGGTTTCAACCGTGAATTTTGGAGCTTCGACAAGAAAGACGGAGGTTTTTTCCCCGAGGCTGGCGTTAGCTTAGCTCGTAGCTAAGCTGCTTTTAACGATCCAAAAACGCGATTTTGGACAGTTAAAATGGATTTTAAAGAGAAAAGAGAAAGGGAGAGAACATTGAAGAGCACTGGAGTTGAGCTTTTTGTCATCGAGTGTCTTCAGTAGAAAGAGAGCGGCACGAAGAAACAATAAAGCCGATAAATGAAAATGAGGTAGATCATTTTAATTTATCATGCAATTAATTGATTTATCGTGACAGGCCTAGTTCTTGGGATTAGAATTTTGTAACAATATATCAAAATGCACCAAACATTAGAAAGAAAATACAAACTGGCTCTATCAATAGTATTAAAGAACTCAAACAGCCAACATACGTAATATACAAGAGGTCAAATCTTTCTACGTAAAGCTGTTAACGTAATACCTCTCTTTAAATGTTTATCATGAACATGAGTTAAAAAAAGCAATGTGCACTTTTTCTTAAACAATACTGAAGACAAAGTAAACAGTAAACTTATCGTGGTGTTTATTACACTAGCTTCCAAATATTACCTTTGGAAAATTACAAATGAGCTCAAACTGTGAATGTATGAATATTCAGTAGATTGGAAATCTGATTTGTCATTCATAAAACAACATCAAAACACAACGTTCTACACAGCCACAGTTTTGGAGAATTAGTTAAGAAATAAACAAATTATCCTTTATTGTGCCAAAGTGGAGGCTTGTCTGAAGCTGCAGACCACTGCAGTACAGTCGCAATGTCAACATGCCCAAGATAGAACAAGTATAAAAACATACTAACATCTCCTTCAAAATAGCTGTCACACAATCCTTCTCCACCAAAAGAAGTACCGTAATTTCCAGACTACAGAGCACACCCGAATATAAGCTGCACCTAGTAAATTAAAAATAATTATGTATATATATATATATATATATATATATATATATCTATGTACCTTTTATATTATATATGCTGCACTTGTCTCGAAGCCACGGCTGTCCATGAGATATTTATGCAGAAAGATTTTTTTTTTTATTAAATACGTGCCAGTAGGGCTGGACAATAATTCGATATTCGATATCGATATATGTCACGATATACTTTTATTCAATAACGGTGATATTAGTTTTAAGCACATTTTCGATATTTTAATATGATTACAGCATTTCACTGACGCATTTCTTTTTCTGTTTGGGTTGAAGCGGCCACTTCAACCCAAACAGAAAAGGCCACAACACATAACTACGTAAGTGCGTGGTGACGTAGATGTCACGCAGAGCTCGAGTCCAAAAGGTGTTAGCGGTAGCAGGCTAGGCTAGGCTAATCTCCAACGTGCTGTATGTTTTCACTTCAAAATGAGTGCCCATGACCGTCAGAATGTGACGAACAAGCTTTCACAAGCGAAGAGAAAGCAGACGACATAATTGGTAAGAGAAGAAAGACTAATTTGGTGGTGTGGAAGTGGTTCGGATATCTAAGATCTGATAAGCTGCAGGTTTTAGTGTGCTGCAAAATGTGCCGGAGAGTGGTTCCAACTAGCAGTGGGAACACATCTAACTTGTTTCATCTGAAGAGTTTCCACTCAATAGAATATGCTGAGAGTCAGAAGATGAAGAACAATAAAGTTTGAGCCAATGTGTCCCAACATATCCTGATGCATGCTCAATAATCCAGGTAGAAAAATCTAAAAAAGTTAAGTCTGGTCCTCTGGACGTTCAAAAAACAAAACAAAACAAAAATGTAGAAATGTTTTGTCTTTCATCCGAAAGACTTCCTCAGTCTGAGGTGCTGTATTCAGCTCAGTCTTATAAATAGCACCTTCTCAGAGTGGATCAACCAGTTTGCTGCTGACAACCAAAACCAGCTGCTCACATGGTCAAGAAGGACCATCAGCCAAACGATGGATCATTAGCACCCTGATGTGTCCCATTTAAAAGGTGAACATTAATTTATTTGTACAGTTTGTACAGTTTTTCTGAGGTTTTTATATTGATTATATCTGTATCGAATTATATCGTTATTCGACCGAAATTAAGAAATAAATTGTGATAAAAGTTTTGGCCATATCGTCCAGCCCTACGTACCGGTAACATACACAAACACGTACAGTAATTTTATTTTTTCTGAACGGTGCCTGTAACATGTTTGGTTAAAAAAAAAAGAATACAGTAGCCTACCAGGAAGTCATCGATCGCTACCTTCACCTTTCTCCTGCGCACCACTTTGACCTGTTCGGTAATTTCATTGGTCAGATGTTTTTTAGCTTTATTTATACAGATAGTCTCATCGAGTCACAAGGACCCACCTCCCCAAGAGAGATGTGTATTGGGGAGCTATGTGAGCACCCGGGTGTGACGAGGCTAAATGTTTTGGTGGCATGAAGCTCGTTAGCGCGTCAAAAAAATAAATAAATCCATAAATTAGCTGCAGCATTGTATAAGCCGTGGGGTTCAAAGCATGTGGAAAAGTAGCCGCTTATAGTCCGGAAATTACGGTACTTCATGGCAGAAAAACAAATATTTATACCCATTACTGGTTTGTTTACCAAATTAGGATCCTTTGTAAAATGACAACGTGCTGCTGAAGTAGATCTGGATATCACTCACCAGTAATTTGGCCTTGTCCTGCTCTTCGTGAACCTTCTGTTTCTCCACGATGAGGGCAGGGGTCAGCTCACTCGGGTTTGTGATGGCTGCAGCCTCTCTCTCCCTCTGGGCCAGTTTGACCAGCTGCTCCTGAACCAGAGCCTGCTGACGCTCAAACCTAGAGGAAGAGAAGATAAAACCTGTTAACCTTTGACACTGTATTTATCCAGTGAAAGGCAACTCAACATGCAAGTTCTTGTTCACACATAGAGCTAACCAGCAAGGTCAGGGAGGTATTGATTCCAGTACACAATCGGTAAGAGACTGGATTTTGTTGGAGAGGCCTTCAGGAGGCTCCTTCTGCATGGTTTGATTCTGCACTACAGTGGTGAGCAGGCAGAGAGCACAACTTTGTTTCAATTCAATTCAATTCAAAAATACTTTATTAATCCCAAAGGGAAATTATTTTGTTGTTGTAACTCATTATCTTCATTAAGAGATATTATAGATGCTGATGGCTGTAGACGGGAAGGATCTCTTGTAAAGGTCCATCCCACAGTGGATCCTAAGAAACTGTCTGCAGATGCCGTCAGATCCATCCACCCAGACTCAGCTGGCCTCTTGGTTCCCCTGGTCTGTAGGACCACCAGAATGCCGGGCAGAACTCCTCCCAAAGCAATGGCCACTCCTCCCAGCAGTCTGCCGAGCTCCTCGTCGCTGCGGACAGCTAGCTGCAGGTGTCTGGGGACGATCCTGTCCTTCTGCTGTCATGAGCCGTGCCTCCTGCTAGTTCCAGGATCTCAGTTGTCAGGCACTCGAGCACAGCCGGCAGGTAGATGAGAATGCGTCCACAGAACATCCTTTCCAACTCATTTGAGATTTGGGGCTGTAGTTGAGATATTATTTGAGCTTTTGAGATGTTAATCAGCTGCTGTTGGTTGTAGAAAACTGCCTTGTTGCCATGGTTACGCATCATAACAAAGGTCCAAAACTTAAAAAGTTCCAGTAAAAATCCTTCCTGCTGCACAGCATCTGATACCAGAGGAAACAATCATCCAAAAAATGTGATTTACATCCAGAAAAAGAGGAATTAAAGTTTCCAAAAGCAAAATCTCAGAATGAAAGTAACAGAGCTGCTCCAACATGCAGCCACCTTGAGCGGCGCAATTCTAGAACAAAATAACTTTGTCCAGTTAAATAACACAGTTTGCTTGTCTTGTATACTTTTTTTTAAATTTAGCCAGTGGAAACTTAAGGTAAAAATCAAAACTAAGGGAAAATGGTTGTGGAACCTCTCAAAACTAACACATGAGCTCCACCTCATGGCATCAGCTGTTCAGGGCAAACATCCTGCCTTTTCTAGCATGCTGACAGAGGCGGTCACTTTGAATTAAAAAAGCAAACACCCAAAAGGGACTGGCAGAATTAAGCTCAAATTTTACAATTAGGATTCGTGTTTTGATCAGCTTTCTTGTGTTTGAACTTTGACTTTTATGGTTTTCCAGATCTGAGCGAGGAAAATGAAAGAGCAGCCACACCTGAAAGTCCTGAGAATAATTAAAAAAACTATTGTTTGTGGTTAACTGTGGCTAAAGTACTTTAAAAATGATAGTTTCACTGTAGTGGTGTAAAACAGCTGTTTTATAATATTGGTTTGTAAGAATTGCTTTTGTGATTTACTTTGATGAAAGTACGTTAAAGGCAGGTATTAAACAAGTCAGTAATTATTAAAAGGCATGTTTTATTATGGCTGTAAGCAACAAAAAGCAACAGTGCGAGCTCTTTCTCTTTTTTAACACTAGTGAACAAGTGAATCAAACGGATCAGATGATGTGGTGAGATCACAGCTGCAGGTTTTCAGGAACTTGCTTTTGCTGCTTGTAGCATCAGAAACTCAGGAAATGAAAAGACGTATTACTTTGTTTGTTGTCTTTTGACTGAACAGTACAACCAAAAGCATCACCAAACATGGCAACTCAGAACTCAGTCAATACCTTTTAATTGTATTTATTTATTGGCTGCTTCCTTCTTCAGGGGTCGCCACAGTGAACTAACCCGCATGAAGACTTGGCAATTGTTTTTAGGCAGGATGCTCTTCCTGACACAACCAAAGACCACCGAGCTACCACAACCCTTTGTGTGGGGCAGGGAGCTGCCATGTAGGGTGCCCAGGGGGGCAGATGGTGGAGTTAAGAGCCTTGCTCAAGGACCCAGAGTGGGACAAATGAGGGTGGAGGCAGGTGTGAGTATTTCACCTTTCCCACCCACATTTTGAAGTTGTGGGGAGTTGAACCGACAACCTTCCTATCACAGGCTCGTCTCCTCTGTGCCACCACTCCCCATTAATCATTACCTTTATTGATAGCCAGTTAAAGTTGTGCTTTCACCAGAATGTGTAGTTTCATCAAACTTTGTTGCTCAATCAAATTTAGCAGACTGAGAACTTTGTTTAAAAAAAAACACGTAGCAAGGTTTATTTCTCTTCTGCAGAAGGAGAGAACACGTGGAATGGAAACGCAGCCCAGGAATTCTTGTGTGTTCTCTAAAAAACATGAGCAATGCAGCTTCATTTATACATCTTCACATGTAACACATCTTGCTTTGACACAACAGCCATTACCTCATTTGCAATCTTATCAGAGAAAAAACAGACGGTACGTTTGTGGTCAGTGACTGGTTCTGGAGCTGGGTTTGAGAAACGGACGTTACAAAGCTTCACACACTGATGCTGAGGGGATTTAGCTGATGAGCTTTAACAGAGTGTGATATAAAGTAAATGACTCATAAGTGTGATGATAAACTTGATGAACAAAATAAACTGGTGTCAATGTTTTGCATTTCCACAAAGTACTGATCCTTTCTGAGACTCGGAGCTAAAACTGCAGGCAAACACTTTAATTAGCATTTTAAAATAAACTGTAAATTGTGTAAACGTATCAAACTTTTATATTAACAACCCAGAAAATATCAACAAGAACAATACGTCATCTGTTGTAAACAAGTAATGTTGAGCACTGCAGTTCAAAATACATGATTGATATATAGTAAAGCTGTTTCCTCATCTATCATGGGTGTTAGAGACCCCCCCCCCCCCCCGTGATAAGTGAAAAACTGTGAAGTAGGGATACAGTAGTCTAAGTAGCAGAAGTAGTAAGTAGTAGTTTATTTTAGTATTTACATATATGCATTATAAACCCTTCCCACATTCCTGCAATGTTCTAAACAATGTTTCTAAACTCTAAACGCTCTAAAAGAGCACAGAACGTCATGATTTCAGCTCCCTGCCTCCTCCTCCTGCGGCACTTTGCGCTTTCGGCCACGCCCACTTCGTCGCTGCAGAACAGAGATATGACACGCTGCAGAAGGAAGCTTCTACTGCAGCTGTGGGCTGCACACAGGTGCAGCTAAATTATTTAAAACAATTTATTTAGAATAAAAATTCCATGCCAATCGTGCGGCTCGTCCGTCAGTCAGCCAGTTGTGTGTCATGTTCAATCATATTTTGGAAAACCGTGATAGAGCGAGACCGTTTAAAAAAAATTAACCGCAGGAGGGGGAAGCCGTTCAGACCACAACTAAAAACTGCATACCCGTTATTTTTTTTTGTTTCTAAATGAGCCTCTCCCTTTATGCAACAAAGTACACATGCTGCAACACAGTAAATATAGACAAAATATACATTATCTAAACCCAAGAAAATACCAACAAAATGAGACAACCTCATCACCTTTACTTTACAAACACCTACTTTTTATGCATTTCTTCCTTTATTTCTGCTGTTGGTGGTCCGGCAGGTTTTTGACCTGAAAGATCAATGCAGAAAACATCCAAACTATTAGCAATGATCACATGGAGTGATGAGTGCAGCTTAAAGAAGAGTATTTATAATTCAAGGATAAGTTTGTGAAATAAGAGCCACCATTTAATCAAACTATCATCTACATAGCATAGTAATACACGTATAAATGCATTTAAAATCTGCTCAAATGTATATAAAGAAAGGCAGTTCAAAGATTTGATGAAATATTTAAATACATTTATCTGTTGACATACATGTCACAGTTTATGCTCAGTGTTTTACTTTAATTATACGAAACAATCTGAAGCAGCCACACAGAAGCAAAGTGGACCGTTTTCTCTGATCGTCTTCATGATTGTGGACTTCAGAAGGAACAAAAACACCTACACCCCCCCTGAACATAAGAGGATCTGCGGTGGAAGTGGTCTCCAGCTACAAGTACTTGGGTGTACACATGAATGACAACCTCAGCTGGAGCAACAACACCACCAGCCTGATCAAGAAAGCTCATCAGAGACTCTACTTCCTCAGACGGCTGAGGCGAGCTGGTCTGGGAAGCTCAGTCCTCACCTCCTTCTACAGGTGTGCAGTGGAGAGCATCCTGTGCTCCAGCATCAATGTGTGGCATGGAGGCTGCACAGCTGCAGAAAGAAAAGCTTTGCAGAGAGTGGTGAAGGCTGCACAGAAATCTGTTGGAGTCAGTCTCCCCACCATCACAGACATCTACACCTCCAGATGCAGGAAGAGGGCCACCTGCATCATGAAGGACCCCACCCACCCAGCACACACACTTTTTGCCCCACTCCCCTCAGGAAGGAGGTTAAGGAGCATTAAGTGTAGAACCACTAGACTGAGGAACAGCTTCTACCCTGAGGCTGTTAGACTCATGAATCTCTAACTAGAATAATCACTGTGAAAAACCATATCATGTTGCTGCTGATCTGTTTCATGTTGCTGCTGATCTGTTTCAATGTTGATGTGTTCATGCGTGCACATCTGCTCACAGACTCATGTTCATGTTTGTGGTGATGTTCAATGTTTTATGTTATGAGTGCTTAGTGTATATTTAGTTGATGTTTTTCTTAGTTCATATCTTAGATGTCATTACTGTTTTTCTTATACATTTTATTGTTGGATGTAACTGGGACCCTGTGTACATAATTTCGCTCCACCACATGTACCACATGAGGTGCGAATGACAATAAAGAAACTCTGACTCTGACTCTGACTGATAATGATCACTTCTGTATCATTTTTCAGGCCTGTGAGTCGAAGAGAGTCACTGTTGTTGAGTAGAACGTACTTTGTGGAGGCGCCGATGTCTCCGTGCTTTTCGATCCCTGAGATTCCCTCATCCGCCGGAGGACATCCTCTGAAAGCTGAGTCAAAACAAAAAAAGGTTCTTTAATATAAATAAAACACCTTTTTTTTTTTTCCTTTGGAAGCAAGAAGTTAGGCCGATGCAAACATGTAAACATGCAAACATTTCCTTTTTCTCAGATTGGGTGAGTGTTCTTGTTTTAGAGTTATTTAGCCATTTAAAGGGAAAGAACAGGACCAAGAGGAGTAGCTGGGATTGGACAACTGCTTTAAGAAGTCCTGCTTAGAATTAGATATTCTACTCAGCACCATAAATGTACTATAATAAACTCTTTAATGTTTCTGTCTGAACCTGACCAGTTTTAGACCTTAATTGTTGGTATTGTTTACATTCTCTGTGATTTTTATATTCTGTTATTATTTTATATTCTCTGTTGTTTTTGATATCTTGTGTATGTTCCTTTGTAGTGAAACTCTGGCACAACAATTTCCTGCGGGATCAATAAAGTTCTCTTATCGTATCTTACTCAGCTGCGATCTCGGCTCAAACTGATTTTTTTTTATTTTCATACCTGACTATCCTCTAAAAAAAAAACTTTCTTGGCTAGTTAGTCGTAATAGTGTGAATGTGCATTGATCATAAAAAGGAAAAGTACCCAGAACTTCATTTGACTAAGACTGATGACTATATGAAAGCAACATTTTGAACTTTTGCTTCAATAAAGGTAAGAAGGATTTTCCTCAAGATGCGAGACGTTTTCCACCACCTAATAGATTATTATAAGGATGGAAAAGGCAAGTATATTTTGAATATTCATTATAGGAGGTTGAAAGTATGCCAACTTTTGTGACAGATGACAACTTTGACATTGTTTGAGCATCAAATGGAAACTAAGGATGTTATTATCCCTAAAGTTAGAATAAAAAGTCCAATTGTCCTATTTTATAACCCAGATACATGTCTTGGTATTGAATGGGATTGTAAAGCTTTGAAATAATATGGGCGGCAAAAAAAAAAACTTTTTTTTTCTGGTCATTGAATGCGTTAAGACGTAAAAAGCATCATTCAATGACACAAAAAATGTATAATTGTCTTCCATTCAGAATGCGGCCTTAAAATGGAGTAAAAAATTACATTCTGGTGGGATTTTGACCATACTTTACGCATCCCGACTTATGAAACAGCATTTTTTTTACGTGATTCTTTATCCAGACACGTGGTAAAAGTAGCAATTTGTGTCCCCCTTGGCTTGCCATACACCACAGGAGGACCCATCACTTGTAAACAGACATCGAACTTACAAGAAAGCCTAGCATTACTGTTAGCTTGTGTGCTATGTTATCAACAAATAATAGTTTACACGTCTAGCAATATTTTTGCACATAAAGAGAAGGTATCAAAAAGACAAATAATCTGACACGAATAGTCTTGTTTCGTCATTTCATGTAGTCAGAATAATCAGGATAAGCTTTCAAGCTGTAATTTGCTCAAGGGCACTGTAGTAGGCATACTAACAATAAAAAAAGTAATTTATACAGGGTCCTGCCCATACTTTTATATCCACTTACTTTAACCACCAGTCACCCAATAAGAGAAGTAGAACTGCAGACCACGCTAAGTCATCACAGATCACCTGTGCTGCAGAGATTAGATTATTGTTTCCAGGAGCTGGTGGCAAATTTGTTATGTAATTATGACAATAATAACATAATGACAATAACAATACTTCATTCAGCTCGTACATATCACAAAATGAAGACACAATAATAATTATTGCATGTGTTGATTGGGTTTTGTACATTTTAATCACAATAAAGTATAATCTCATGTAATGTACCACCCAGAAAGGAGCTGGATGAGGCTTTGGTCTCCAGGATTAGAGACAAACAGAAAGTGCTTCGCTAAATTAGATCAAACTCATGTTCTCCCTACCAGAAAGGCTCGTGTGGTGACATGGATAAAGTTTAACTAGTGTTTACATAAATAATAAATATTTTCTGGCTTCCGTTTAGGTTATTAGAGCCAAGTTTGTGGCCAAAAATCAAAAAGAGAAGGCCAAAGCTCGAGTTCAGAAATGTCATGCAGTGAGTTTGACAGCAGACGTGTGGACGATTTTAAAGAGAGAAACCAACTGAGTCCAAGCTCAGCAGAATAAACACTTGTTCTTAATAGAAATGACAAGTCACCATGACCCCAGTGTTCATACAGTCACTGTCCCACCAACACCGTTGGCACAGTGAAATGACAGGGGGGTTGTGTTTACATGAAGCCCCAAGAAATGAACCTATTTGTGAACCAGTTGGAATGAAAGCTTCATGAAGCAGTCATCACCACTGTTAATGGTTTATGATGCTGATGAAGACATGGAGGTGCATTCAATTTTGAGGACATGGCACATGTTTGGCTCTCAGACGGTACATTATACCAAACTTTATAAACCCTATGACGTCATTAGCATTCATACTATAAAGCAAAATAATAAACTGGAAGGTTGATACACCATTACCTTCACTCCTTCAATAACTGTGACCTTCTCCTTTTCGTCCAGTCCGAATGACACATTCCTCGCGGTGCTTCCATTTCCTCCCATTGTCACCAGCTACCCGTTCCCACGGGGTTATAAAAACACAAAAATAATAAAATTAGACTCGATTTCTGTGACAGTATGAAGACATAAATAAGACAGAGACGCCGCCACAGCGACTAGTGGTCAAAATACTCCAATAAAGGTCATCCTGGCGCTGCAGTATCCTCAAAGCTCATTGGTTAAGAGAAATCGTTAGCATCCAATGATTGGTTGCAGCTAGAGGTGAGCGAGGGGCTGATGGGAGTTGTCGTTTTTTTTTTTCTTCCTACAAACAAAACGAATGAGGTGACATTTTTTTAATTTTAGGTCACACAAAAGTCACTAGGGAGAGCCATTTCATGCTAAATCAAATAAATAGCGTTATTTAAAAATTATTAATAAATATTCCAATAAATAAATAAATGTTCCCGTGAAATAAAACATTTTAAATATATTTTTTAATTTATTTCAAAAAAAATTATTCATTTCAACATTTATTTAATTCAAGATGGGATCATTTATTTATTTAATGGGATACGTATTAAATTATTTTTAAATAACACTATTTAATTTTGAAAGAAATGGCTTTCCATACATAACGTACAAAATTTAAATGTAATTGCCACAGGAAGCCAAGGGGTGGTGTCCTATCCAAAAATTCAATGTGCTCTACTTCTTACCAAAACAAAAATTAAACCCAAACAAGACAAGAGGATTTGAAGAGTTTATTTTGTAGCTCACCGAATGGTCCACAGTCATTTGAACACCATTTGCAAAAAAAAAAAAGAAGAAGAGTTTTTGCACATGAAGAGAGAATGAAAATCCACAGCAATGCACCTAGTGAAGTCAGAAAACAAAAACTCAGTATTTGTCCATCAGCACTCAGAAGTGCATTCAAAATATAGTCGGGCAGATGCTAAAATTGCTTGGAAAGGTCTTCCCTACTGTGTTGTGGTTTTGTAATTAAATATAAAAACCGAACCCAATCGTCTGCACACAGTTCAGCCTAAAACCTTTAGGATTAAATATGCACCTCAATAGCAAACACTGAATTTGGCAAGAAACAAAAAAGCTTGAATTAAAGATTATTGGCAGGAAAAGAATAATGTAAGTTTCACAGAAACGTTTCTCAAGTATTGATTGTATGAAACTAGAAGTAAAAGTTTAAAGCTAAAAAAGAAATTCAGACATTTTTCCTCTTTGCGACAATCCAGTACATTTATCACTTTGATTTTAAAATTACCCACGTTTGATTTGTTCACTGAGCCCGTTTCATTTTATTAATCAAATGAAGTCAAAATTTCTAAATATATTAAGGAAATATAACATTCTTTTAAATACTATAAAATAACTATAATTCCTGGTCTCATTGCAGCCTGTAATCATTAGAAGAAAAACTTCACGAGCAACAGGTTATAAACAAAACTGAAGTGCTGCTGCTATAAAAATGAACACGTGTTTGAAGTGGAATGCACCGAGAAGTTTCTGCATTTACACTTAAAGCCTCACAGACTATTACTTCCTGACAGACTGAAGTTACCAAATGTATTGCACAGGCAGGAATGACTCGTGTTCAATTAAAAAAAAGGTCAAAGGTTGAAAACAACAAAACAGCTTCTTGGTGAGATGCAGCTCTACAAATTTAGCAACTGTTAATCTGTCTAGACACTTTTGGACCCTTTAATACAACATCTGTATTTAGGCGATACTGATGTGGCGACACATTAACACTTCGTTCACTTGTTAACAGACACTGCAAATATTTGATAAATCAAAATTAATGATTAACCAGCTCAGCCGCAAATCCGTTACAAGGCAGTTTCTAAAAAAAAAAAAAAAAAAGGTTGCTGTACGCTCCAAGTGGGAATGTATGAAAGTTTTAAATCAAAACCAAACCCATGAAACAAATTAAGTACTTACACCAGAATGAGACTGAGCAGCTGATTTTTAGAGCTTAAGTTACAGAAAATGTGCTGAGCCAAAGTGGAAATCATCCAAGATTCTGCAGAAACAAGGATCAATATCAACGGTCAAAGGTCACAAAGAGGACAGCACTCCTAGTGTGGAGTGGCGTCAGCAGCACACTATGGCACCAGCATTAGCGCTTGCTAAACCCAGGAAAGGTCTGTTCTTAAGTGTCCATTTGTTACCTTCTTCTGGCATCATAGAAAGAACAGGGTTACACTTCCACTGCGTCCAATCAGCTGGATCTGCCATGTTTTTTTGGTCAACCTCTACGATCAACATCTTTCCAAAACACACTAAATTTGCACATTTGAAGTCCAGCTGAATTCTTGTACATCCGTTCGCTCACGCGTTGACAGGTCTCCAGCGGTCAGCCTCAATGCTGTTGGACCCGTAGGGTCCCGATACAACGTCATCCAAATAAGCTCCAACCATGCGGGAGCTGCTGGAACCAGAGCCGTCGATCTGTGTGGAAGAGTAGTAAAGGCCCTGGTCAGTGAGGTCCCTGCGGCCAAGAGTTGTGGCGATCGTTGGAGGAAGGTGGACATCACTTTCATCTGGCTCGTCCACCTGAGACTTATAGGAAAACAGGATCTTGGGCTCTGAGCTGTAGAAAATTAAAAAATAATAAGTTTACTGAAACATCCCCCAAGTATCTCCAGAGTTGATTCAGTTAGAGACATTCATCACAATGTGTGCGCATAATCAGCTAGCTTTCTTTCCATAGCTTCAAAAATAATTCAATATACTCTGAATGGTACATACCCAAAGAAGCCCTTGAGGAATGTGACGTAAATGAGTGGAGCAAAGGCAGAAAAGTACAGGAAGGTGGTGACATCCACACAACTGGTTCAGAGGAAACAAAAAGTCCACAGTTTAACAACAAGCTGTTACAGTGCATGAAGCCATTATAAGATAAAAGACATACTTCATAGACTGATGACAGTTTTATTTGTATCAGCTACTCAAAACTACAACTTTATCATTTGTCTTCAGCGTCATAATTATAAATATACACAAAAAACTATTAAAAATGTATCAGCGCACATACAGGCAAACAATAATTTACAACAAAATCCAAAGATGGAAACACTTTATTGTTTTCATGTTAACACTTAATTTCTTCACAGGCTGAACATGTTTTTGTGGACTGAACTCATGTTGGAGGGCGTTTGTTTAACACGAGCCTTTACATCTAAATAGTTGATTGTTGATATGTGCTGCTGATTATCCGTGCTGCCGATTTATTTCAAGCTGCTCATGTTCGTGCTGCTGTTCGGCGTATCGTTTTGTACTAGTAGTGCTTAGTGTATATTTAGTTTAGCATATTTCTTAGTTTATATCTTAGATCTTATTACTGTTTTTTTTTTTTTAATTTATACTTTATGGATGTAACTGGGACCCTGTGAACACATTTCATTCCACCTCATGTACCACATGTGATGCAAATGATAATAAAAGAACCTTGACCTAGGTTAAAATTAGGCTCCAATTTTTCTAAAACTCACTGAGATAGAGCCTTTAAACCTAAATGTTTAACACTGAAACAGTTACATTTCTTTCCAACGTTTGCAACATCTCTAAGAGTATATTATTTTAAATAAAACCTACTGACCAGAGTCCTTCTATGATTCCAGCACACAGCAGAGCGCTGCCCAAACCCTGAACGAAGTTGAGTAAAGACAGGATGGCGGCGTACACATAGAAACTCCTCTTAGCTAGAAACGGAAAGCAAAGCAAAACGTCAACTGAAAGGAAAAGATTTCACTTACAATAAGTAATAAAGTTAATGATACAGTGAACTGCAATCTTCCATTCTTTCCATTATAATCATACATGAACCTTAACCTCTGGGTTACTTTTATCTAAACTTTAATTTACACCTTTCTCTTTATATTGTAGGGAAAAGATGTGAACACAATGTCTACAGTAAAAGCACATTATTTTAATGTTAATGCAGTTTGTTTAAAATACTTGTAAAATCTCAGGGCTTTACAAATTAACAGAAGAAATTTCAAGATTTATGAGTCATTAGGTGCATTCAGGGACAATAGGAGGAATCTTTCTAAACTTTTTTTTTTTTAAAAGGCCAAAAATAAAGCTTTCTTCCCAATTAGATTTAGAGTTTAATGATAAACTGTCCATGTAATATTTATGGTAAATTAACAATTGCAGTATTAATCAATAAACAATACAAGTTGCATAACTTGACCTCTCAGGACCTTGTAATAAGGCTCACCAGTTGTTGTACAGTTGTGTGTTTAAACCTGTTGAAGTCTAAAGACTTACATGGCAGAGATATCCTCTCCCTCACCGGAGTTTTAGGCAGGAAAACAATCATAGAGTACACCTACAGAAAGGACAACGTCATCAGTTTAAAATGCGCACGGAGGAGTAGTTTTCCTTGCGTTGCTGCAGAGCTGCAGGTTACGGACCAGGAAGAAGAAGCTGGAGCTGGCCAACCAGAAGTGCCGTCCTCCGTGACCGTAGATGTTGAAGTCCTCAGCGGACAGGTGACTGTCTGGGTATAGTATCTCTAACGTGCCCTGAGACAATGGAATATTTATTTCAACTTCATGCAAACATTACAAAAACCTCCTGCTACATATAACAATTGTGTTATCGTCTGTAATTACCTGTGTGATTGAGTATCCCAGAGCCAGCACAGCAGTTATAGCCAACACACGTTTGATGCTGGACTTACTTTCTAAGTGACCTAATTAATGAATAACGAACGGGAGGCATCTTTAGTAACCATATATACACAACCACATAAAAACAAAGGCAGCTAATCGTGTTTTTAAATGGATTTGTAACAAAGACAGAGGCTACGGTGCTTTATATTCAGTGAGCAAAACCAGCAAACTAACCAAAGGCCAGTCCCAAGATGACAACGCTGAGCTCAGTAGCTAGCAGGAAGAAACGGGTGATTTCCCACAGCACCTACAGAAACAACAAACATCATGAGAAACTAATGGAGCAAAGGAGTTCCACAGGGCTCTAGTCTGAAGAACTAGAATAACACTGTTTTCATTCTTCCCAGCACTGCAGACATGACAATGTGTTATGAGAAGAGTTGGTCCATCACTGGAAACGCAATGGAAAATATGTCTGGTATGCGTGGAATCAAGCCCGGCCTTTCTTTTAAACCTGGAAGCTGCTCAGATAAACCCATCTTGGGTTTCAATAAAAAAAAAAAAAACATCTGAGCCTCCTGATAATTCAGAATAATTCAGATATTTAAAATAGGCACAAATGTTTAATGACAAGAACATTTTTGAACCTTTACAGACAAAATAGCTCAGAAAATAAGTAGCTTTTAATGAGTTACAGCGGGGATATTCAACTAAACTGCTCAGGGGGCACAGTTACTGAAAGCCAAGAGCTCAGGTGCCAGACATCCAGCAGTTATTGTCATGTTTGTTTCATAGTTTCAAATCTAGACTGATTTAAAAATGAACCCACTGGTGGGCTGAACTGAGCTCACTCGTGGGCCTGATTTGGACCCCGGACCACCAGTTGAACAGCCCCGAGTTACAGAAATTCATTAGTTTGGGGTAAGTTGGCACAACTCATTTTCATACCGCCTTATCCCCAACCCTTGCTTTAACGCTTCCCACCGCTCCTTTTCTGTCCCCAACATGACTCCTTCAGTTGACTCTCATCCTTGCAGCTTTTAGTCGCCGTTTCTTTTCAGAGGAGAGAGAGAAACTTTTACCTTTTGGCTTTCAACCCGGCGTCTCTCATTCTATTGTTCTCCCTCCGACTCCGTTTACATCCAGGAATCATTTAACCGACTCAATAGCCGTCGCACGTTGAGAATGTCTGAAGTGTTCTCGTCAGCGTTCAAATAAAAACAAACAACTCGTGATTGGTGGCAACAAAGCATTTGCCATGATTTAGCTCATTATAAATTATGATGCAGAATTGCTTGTTTTGACAGCTAATATTGTTTTAAACAGGCTTTCCCCTAATAGTAATAATTAGAAAACTTTAAAGTCTATCATCAAAATGTATGCTTTGCTCAGACGTAATCAAGTTACAAAAGGTTTTGCTTATTTAAGCAATAATTACAAATTTGGAGAAAAAAAAAAGTTATAAATATGACTTGAATTTCTTTCATACACTTTGTGCATCTGGAATATTATTTACTGTCGGTCAATCTTGTTTGTTTGTTTCATATAAATGCCAGGATTAGCAGAGTGTAAATACTATGTGTAGTCTTATGCAGCTTTAACTGAAAACAAAACTAAAACAAATCATGAGATTTTATTATTGAAGTGAATTTTTATTATGTGTACCGTGGTGTTCTTTTAGCGCACATCATTAAAATCCTGACTAGTTCGATTAAAGCTTCAACGGTCTTACTTTGTCTACGATGGTTGCAGCGCTGGACGCACTGACGGTCATAGACACAATCGCTCGGGTGATTCCAACTCCTGCGACAACAAACACCTAAAAAACACACAGTACACAACACGTTCAACTGTTTGTTGTTTATCTACCGGAGCGCACACACACAGGTCCAAGTAACGCTGATAACTGTGTTCACCAACATCAGTGACACACACTGTGTTCACCTCTTTTATCATCTGGGTAAATGAGCTCATAGATATAATATATTGCTGGTTGTTTCATTAATGCACTGAAAAATCCACCAACAGTTCAAACACCAATGAGTTGGAACAGACTGTACAACAGAGCTGCACAATGTTTATTTTTTATCAGTAAAGTGTTGCAAAAATTCATTTATTGTCGCTGATAGACCAAAAATAATGTAAAACCCGGTTCTAGCAGAACCACACCTGCAACTTTTGGGGATAATTAATGGTTTGAAATTATGGGACATTATTTTAGGAAGAAAATCAGAATGATCTTTAAAAAAATACCAGCATTATGAGACCTAATGTGAAATGTTACGATCACAATAGCAACACTGAGGTTGCATGGTAGCTTGTAGGGCTTTAACAGACTACTCGAGTAATCGACAAGTCGATTCCTAGGACATCTATCGAGTTTTAAAATGTCACGTCGAGTATTCGCAGTGACGTCATTGTGTCACTAGTAGAAGCTACAAAACGGATCCCTCCCAGCAGATGGACTGAGCGGAGCAGGCCCAGTCTTGGCAAACGGGTAGAAATGCATCAATAGTCTGGAAATATTTCACTAAAGATGAATCTCCTGGTTCAACGACCGTAAGGAAACAGAAATTGAATCAACTTCCTGACTGTTTGGAGCTGTTGTGAACCGGTGTTACACCATATTCTGTGACCACCGTATATTGTGACCGTAGGGGGCGGTGTTGCACGCACTGTTGCAGGTCACAGAGTATGGTGTAACACCGGGTCCAATCAACCGAACCAGAACCAGCTTCCTCTGACCTTGTTTCACAAACAAAAAGCAAAAAATATTAATCTCTAAACCTATAAAAAACCTATAAATATATTAATCTCTAAAACTAAACCTAATGCTCACCATAGCTGGCGGTGGTGCGAGGTGGTTGTCCTCCCCACTGTTTTTAGTTTCGTTTTTGACGTGCTGCACGTTATTTCTTTCACTTTTGCAGCTTAATAATAATGATAATAACTAATAGTTTTGGTTTTCCTATGACTTATTTGCAGTATGATAAATGGTAGGAGCATAATATACTCTCCCAATGTTTTGTTGGTCTTTTTTTTGTAAATAATAAATGACGTTTTTTTGCGGATTTATTTTTTATTTATTTTTTCATCTTGAGATCCTATGACGTCATCAACTACTCAAGTTCTACTCGAGTTTTTAAATTATGTAGTCGTTCAACCCCTAGTAGCTTGGTGGTCGCTGCTATGGTCTTGTAATTCTGAGGCTGAAGGTTTGAGCCCAGGTTGCTTTATTAAAGGCACCCAGCATAAAATAATTACAGTACCAAATCTTTCAAGCAAGTTACTCGCTGTGGCAACTCCTGAAGAAGGGAGCAGCAGCAACAATAGCAGCAGCACTGAACACGTTATAATTTTCCAGTTTGTGTCCTACCAGCAGGTAGAAGGTGACAAAAATGGGGCTGGAGGTGAGTCGAATCTTCGCACTGGCTGAGGGCAGCTTCCATATCAGGAACACAAAGAAGGCTACATTTGGCACCAGCAGTAAAATATCCCAGAAGCGCACCCTGAGACAAAAAGAAAACAAAATAATAATGCACTTTCTAAAAGCCAACAGCTCAAGTCTCTAATTTGCAAGCGTGAACGGAGAGCTAAAGGTCACCTGGAGTCTCCAACGTCTTCATATAGGAGTTGCAGACATTTGTGAGGCTTGCTGATGTTGGATTCAGAGTCGGGTTGCCAGGTTGGGAATGCTGACGCGTTCTCCGGCGATGTAGGTGAAACAGTGTCATTGTAGTGAGTAAATCTAACCACAGCGGTAACTGTGGTTAGCATGGTGTCGGTGCCTGGGAGAAAAAGACAAGCTGTTAGGTGGAAAAACATTTACCTTCTTGGAGTCTCCAAGTAATGGGGCCTTTCAGGTGAAAAGGTGTTAATCTGTATACATGTGAGTGTTCAGTCTATTTTAACAGCATTTTATATCTGCATAAACACCTCAGTAACAGATCTAAGACTTTCACCAACCAGGACTTTTTGTTTGGTACATTTAGTAAAAATATTGCATATAGCTCACCCATTATAAATACTTGGATAATACAATAAAGTGAAACACTTGTTTCAAAACATTAAACTTACCGAGTTGTGTTAACTCTGATAAACAATAACAAAATGCCAAGAGGTTGGACTAAAAGCCCAGGCTGTATTACTTATTCCAACATTGAGAATGTGAAGTTGATCTAAGCACAGCTGCACTTTGTGGTCAGTCGTTAGCTACATGTAGCTTGATAGCACCCGTCCGTCTGGAGACGTCATGTTTGTTAAACAAATAGCGTGTTTTCGGCGGTAAACGTGTCAAGATATGAAATAGGTGTTTTAAATCAACATTATTTATCTCCCTTTAAAATCCCGAGTGACCCGCGTCTCCATCAAAACAAACGTGAGTGGTCTTCTGACATAACAGCTTCAAATAGTAAACATTAGTCTCACCGCTTCAGACGACTCTATTTCGATAATGAAATTGTAGTATGCTGTCCAAAGCCGGGATATGCCTCCAGCGGAAGCTATACGTGTTGTTGTTCGCGTTTTAATCGAACAAGACATGGAATACTCAACAGAGACATAGCTGCGTCTGCTGGATACTTTCGTTGAGTAAATTTCCCGTGTGGTCACCTGACAGGCGGAACGCGGGTCCGCACCATTTATTCACCAGTGCAGCTCGCGCCGGCGACCCGCCTTCCTCTTTAGGTGCCGTTTCAATGACAATCAACTTTACCGTCCGAAATGAGAGAATGAAGAGTGAATGTGGTGAATATATTCAAAAGGATGGTAAATTATAGTATTTTATTTATAAACATGTTTATTATTTCAGCCATCAAGACGTCTTGAGACTACTTATGTTGTGATTTGACGCTATATAAATAAACTGAATTAGAACAATCAGACGGTTGCTCTTTTGGGACGCAACTCGTTCAGCCGGTTTATGAACCTGTAATGCATAATGAAGCTGAACAACTCCAACTAAACAAGACAAGTCTCGCGAGATTATGTTTGTAACGTGAGTTTGTTTCCATCCTGTAGTCTTAGACATTGATATAAACACTAAATGCCTCATTGGCTGCTGCGGCGCAGGAATTTCGGCCGCCATCTTGGAACGGTCGTCCTTATTTGGTTAAAGCAGATGTCTCAGCACTTCGCAGCTTATTTCTGTTCTAATCGACGGACTGTTGACGTCAGGTCTCGGGGGATAACTTTTCACAAGTAAGATGAACATATTATTGTTAGTATTTTGTGATTATAATATTACTGTACTGTATTTATGTCCACCAGCTGATGTGATGTTCAGTGTAACACGGTGTTCAGCTGCAATGAAGCTGACTGAGATCTGATGACAGGAATATTTTTCTAACAAGCATACTCACTATTTCAGCAGCTTTGGTTCATTATCAACAGATATGCATCAAAACTGGAGTTTTGTTTAAATTCTAGGATATAAAAAAATAAAACTAGGGAGAATATGGGAAATAGAAAATAAGATTGACCTCCTTTGTACAATGTTTTTGTTAAGACACAAATGTCCTGGTTTCATTTTGAAGGTTTCCCAAAGAACAAGATGTGAGGAAGAGGAGGAAGTATCTTTGAGGAGGATTCATCTGAGCAGTGAGGATTTTAAACTGGAGGATTTTGATCAAACTGATCAGACTGTCCTACAGAGATGGTGTGGTACCATCGGTTCACCTTCAAGGAGTAGGAGCATCATTATAAGTTCATTAGAGTTCATAAAGTTACATATTTTATTGTGAGTCACAAGGTGAGACACCTCCATGCGTTTATATGAACAGGTAACTAGAGACTGTAAAGTTCATATTCATGATGCTTTTTCATTTCAGCTTGAAAACTGCAGGACTACAGGAACTCTACAAAAGCTGGAGCTGCTCTGTCTGTGGCCTCTCAGGAACGTGCACGTCACACACACACAACCTCGACCTCATGATGTGAGTATTTATATTTTAAACTTTTATTTTTCATTTACCCTTTATTTATACAGGTAGTCTCACTGAGTCACGAGAACTCATTTTCAAAAGAGACCTGTTTAGGAGCAGATGGTGGGGGTTGAGTGCCTTGCTCCTGGGCCCAGGGTGGGGCCAATGAGGGTGAAGGCAGGTGTGGGTGTTTCACCTTTTCCACCTCATTTTGATGTTGACAGTACCAGGAGTTGAACCTGCGACTTTCCAATCACAGGCCCGTCTTCTAACCTCTGCGCCACCACTCCCCCACATAACATCATATCATAATGATCATGGTCATATTAAAATCTCACTGGTTTCCTTCCAGATGTGTTAAACAGCTACTGGTCCTCCTGATGTTTCCAGGTGTGTGTGGTCAGTGGATGAAAAGCCTGGCATGAACAAGGTGATGCTGGAGATCATCATTTGACGAGAGCTCCCACCTTCTAACTGTGAAGAACAAGAGCAGCTCAGTGATTCCCTCAAGGCTCAGTGAAGGTGCTGAGAGCTGCAGAGAGGCTGATCCATGGAGCTTCAACACAGCAACCTCCAAACATGTCCACCCTCACACACATCGTCCATGAAGACACTGGACCAGAGAAGGAAGCACAAGATAATAAAACAGTGATAACAACGACAACAATAAAAATTCATAAATGATTCATACAATTTTTTTAAATTGTTTGTTTGTTTTACAATTGAAAAACAGTTTGTTATCACTGTTGTCATCACTCTTTGTTAAAATCCAGGTCTCTCTTGTAAAT